ACCCCCCCCCCCCCCCCCCCACACACCCAACCCCTTCACTTTTCTGTTAGTCCGCCCCTAATCTTGTAAAATGTAATAAGTGTAATAAATGTAAACATAATTAATCTAGACATATGATTGGAAACTCTGCAAACTTAAAAATCTCTACACGGTGTGTCAAAAATGAGGTAATCCAATTTTGACAGGTTATCGACGCGCGTTAAAGATGATTTCCACTCCGTTCTGCGCGTCAGTTCTGCTCATAACAAAGGAGGACCCCCAGATATAAACATTGCCCAAATTTTGCATCTTTCGAACTTTTTTGAATTGAAACGTACTGTTTATATTCATTTACAAGCATAGCGAACCAGAAAATTGTAAGATATTCAGTAAGTATATCATGTTTTACAAATATAGCAGTTCAAAACCTTAAACGTAAACAAAGTTCGCGCATGTGCACAGGGGTGGACATCATCTTTAATAATTACGTTTATAGGTTTTCTGTTCTCGTGTTTATAAAGATCAGGTTTTTAGCTGTCAAATGACACCTTTATCGAATCATTGCGTTGAAAATGACCAAGTACGATCTTATTTAAAGTGGTCGGTTAAATTCCAATTTTCGAACATTTGCCCAAATGCTTGTTGCCCATTTGGGAAACGTATGGAGTTCAGTTTGCAAACTTCTAGTTCTGTAAAATGTTTTAGCCACTCAATTGAGGATGCCCCTTATTATAAGCCATCTTGAATATTAGTGATACCACTATAACCACAATGCAAAGCGTTACGAAAACGTAATAAGGGGGAATCGCGAATTGCGATGCAAAATTGAGAGTATAGAAATATTCCAAAACTTGAGGCTTACACATGCGCGAAACGCCATCTTGATTCAAGCGACTTAAATTTAATTTCCAAATGAGAATAATTTCAATACTCAGACAACAATAGCTTTGCTTGCAATTCCCGTACGCATTCGACAGCTAAAAGCTTGATCTTTATTGGTTTTATCGTTGGATTACCTTTTTTGTACACTCTGTATATAATAAGCTATGATCTCGTTCATCCAATATTGTTGAATAAAAAATTTAAACAATGCCAAACCAAGCCAAGCCAACGTTACCCAACATTGTGTTCAAAGGAGGCTAAAGGTTGGCTAAAGGCCCATTAACACTTGACATTTTTGCCGCGATTTCTAGTGCGATTTCTCTTTCTGATGGATGTGAATGAGTGGATGAGTTATGAATGTCCTGAGTATACGTACCCTTTTCTGAATATTCATAACTTACCCACTCGTTCACATCAATCAGAAGACGAAAGTCGCACCAAGTTTTCAGAATTATATTGAACTTTGTATCAGTATATATCTAACATAATATAAGGCAAAACGTTGCGATATGTCTATAGGCTGTGTTAATAAGCTGTGTTCGTGCAGTTTATTTCCAATTGACAAGTTTGAATAATGTTACATTGTCACTGACAATGCAGCCTAAAAAATATGAAAGAATATACTACAAACGTATTCATTGCTTTACCACAAAGCTACCGTAACGGTATTTTACCACTGAATTTTGTCATTGAACTTTAAAAAATTGCAAATAACAACACCGCGGCCAAACGTAATGCGCATGTACGAGCAGTACACACGCGGACGTTTGACAGCGGTGTTGATATTAAACAACACTGTTGTGACACATAATTCGTCTAAGGCAATAAATTTTTATCATATTTCGTTAGATCCAATTGAGCCTTTGTAATGATAGAATTCTGGCTAATTATGTGAGCAAAATATGTATAATGTTTGTCTTCCCTGCTGGTTGTATATTCACAATTCACTCCTACGACGAGCGACCTTGACAATGCCACTGCTCAAATGATAGTAACTGTAATTATTTCTTGGACCATAACTTCGTGGAAATTCTTTCTTTGTGGCTGTATTCATTTCGCAAATCTTCTCTTTCTGGGAAAAATTGAAAGACTTGCATTGCGTGTCAAGTTGACACATGACCAAGCATTGATAGGATTCAACGACTTCGGTTTCGGTTTGGAAAATCTTGTCGGATAAAGCGTAGTTTGGTACTGCGGATGAAATTGCCGGGTGTTGGCCATTCGTGCTTATTGCCGCTGAAATTGAAATTATATATACTGTATACTGATATATAGAAGTATATTTTGAATGAGTTTTTAGGTCTTCGAATTGGGGTTGGCAATCGGCAAATACCGACCTAACTGCTGACTTGCCGTCTTGTCAAATCGGCAAAGACTAACTTGCCAATATATATATTTCATTGGTTATAAAAACTTTTGGCAAAGTGCTCAATGGAAAACCAGAGCATATTTAAATTAAGGTTATAAAAACTTTTGGCAAAGTGCTCAATGGCAAATCAGAGAATATTTAAATTAAGGTGCAACAAATCAACAAAATCCACTAGGCATCACAAGCCATACAAACCGGTGCTTGTCATAATTTCTCAACAATATATCGGGGCTCATCTCATTTAAGCATGAGGTGATGAGGGTATTTCTGGCACAGTAACGAAATAGATCACTTTGCCATCAAATCCTATATTTTAACAGCAGAAACTCACCAGGTTCAAAACAAAATTTGTATGTGGTTGTGCTGCGAAGACGTGCAAAATGATAAATATAATACGCGGTGCATCTTCGGATATCGACGTCAAATGTCGCTGCACAGTCGTGAGTAGTATTCCTTAAACATAATGTTCCACTAACGATACCGTCTTGGAGCTTTGGATGTTTTTTCTTCAACCACAGCTGACATGAAGCAGTAGGCTTGGGTGCTTTTTCTCTGAACTAAAAACATCAAAAGATGCATGGGACTAAATGTTGGCGTATAGAATGAAATTTGGAGAGTAAATTTGAGATGCCCAAGCTCGACTTGATATTTACCAATATTTACCCATACACTTTACACATGCAGGCATGCATTCCCTTAATATGGTAACATGACCTTGCAGTTAAAGTTCGACATGACTGTCGCCTCTGTAGCTCAGTTTTAGAGCTCTACACCAGAATCGCAGGGCCGACTGGGCAGAATATCGTGGGAAGACTAATTGCTTTTGATCTAATGAAGCACGAGTTTTTATAGTAATCTTGATTTCTAATAATAAATATTAAAGCCCAGCAAAGTGCTTTTAAAAGAGCCTTCAAACACTCATTAATAATTCATAAGCTTATTGGCAAATCATGTCAACCGTAATATGTCACGTGCAGTGGCTTTAAACCTGATAAAACACTCCTAATTAGTATTCTTTATATAAAGAATACTAATAAGGCTGTATCTATTGTTGTTGTGTCCTCATTAGTATTTTTTATATAAAGAATACTAATAAGGCGGTATATCTATTGAATTTGTAGTCGTGTTTGAAGCCGTTTAATAAACTCGCAGGTCGTGTTTTATTAGGTTTGCCGACTCATTTCAAACGCTAATTAATATTCCTCTCCCCAAAATTGTGGGGGAGGGGAGGATGGCGCTAATTAATATTCCTTTTCCATTTTTATTTACAATTCTCCAAATTTTGGCTGCAATTATTATGTTTTTAGTCAGTGTCCCTCAAATATTTTAGTTGCTTTCCTTTCTATCCATCTGGGATTAGATAATTTGCCCAATACCAGACAACTGGTGTGTTCCACCCCACACACACACATCCTTACCAACGCCCTGGTCTGTACTGACTTTTATAAGATGAAATATTTAGTATGTGAGAGGATATAAGAAAGCGTCGATTTCTTGAAAGGATTTAATTGATTTGTGAGCTCACGAGAAAATTCTCAGAATTTTATTAAATATTATGAGTAAACATGTAAATATGCATGTTGAGGTTGTTAATTAAACAGGCATATTTTCAATATACTGTACTTTAATAAGTACATTTACTGTACTGTACTGCACTGTACTGCACTGTACTGTACTGTACTGTACTGTACTGTACTGTACTGTACTGTACTGTACTGTACTGTACTTTACTATACTGTACTGTACTGTACTGTGCTACAGCAACTGTCCAGTCACGCATACGTGCTAAAAAGCCGATATAAACTTTATAACCAAACGATAATGTGAAACGTAACAGAACGGCGAACATACAGATTCGGCCATCTCAAATAATGGTAATGTTGGGATAGTAGCGTTGCAGACTGCAGAGGAGAGTGGGCAGTAAGGCTCGTGCATCACCTCATGGAAAACCTGCACCCCTCCTTGCAGATGAGGCTAGATCCACCCCTGCTAAATACCCAACAATTACTTCATGATATTTACCTGGAGATATTTCATTTGTTTGTCATCGTATGAACTATACCATTGGTTGCCTCGGATTTCAAAATTTTCAACCACAGTTGTTGTTTTCAAATCAAATTTCATTTCTGCATGATCGGCACAGATACGCCACTTGCCTGGGTTTAGAAATATAGAAATATTGTCAACTACACACGTAAATATCTCACAACTTGTCAACAAGAAGTGTTCGCGACAGGCGTGCAAGCTTGTTGTCACAATGCTGTTATTTTATCAAGTTTCTACAAGGTTGTCACACATTGATGAATTGCAGAACGATAACAAGTTGTTGGAACAACTATTAACAAGTCTGTTGAGCTCAACAACCTTGTAGCAAGTTGTCAATAAGCCGTTTGGTTTCACATTTCCGGTTAAAGGTAGCGTTCCAATTATGTTCATTTCAATGTTACTTACTAGCGACTCTGAGCTTCACTAGCATTGCATTGTAACCAAGAGTGTTATTTCCCCAACATTCGTAAGTACAGCTTTCATTTTGCTTTACATGAAGTAATGTCAAGCTACGTGAACCAGTAGCGACCACCGTCTTATCTTTTATCCATGAGAACACGGGGGCAGGATAGCCATTGATGTCACATGACAGTGTCACGTCTTTGTGCTCTTCAGCCCAGACGTGTTTATAGTTTCTATTGTAGTCGATTACAGCTGAAACATAATTGATAATCGGTTAAGCCTGCCGCACACGAGAGCTATCTGCTGAGCCAAAAGTTACTCGTGCCTGTTAGCTCAGCCGATAACTCAGCGATCAAACATGTTTGATACGTGAGAAAAGGTTGCATGAGGCAAAAAACTCAGTAAATTGTACCCGCACACGGTGAGCTATCGGCTGAGCTAACAGGCACGAGTAACTTTTTGCTCAGCAGATAGCTCTCGTGTGCGGCAGGCTTTAAGGCCTGCTCAAAGCCTCAGACATTGGTGAGAATTGAGAAGCGGGAGTTGGCATGAGACTTTTCTCAACTCTCATGCCTCGGTCAAACTAGAACAAGAGTTACACAAGAGTTGATGAGAGTTAACTGGATATAAAACCTTGCCATTGGTCAGACGACAATGAGTGTTGAGAAGTGAGAGTTTTCTCAATTCTCATGCCTCAGTCAAATGATGAGAACAAGTGTTGCATGAGAATGGACCATTTGTATTATAGACTAAATTTTGGTCTAGACAAAAATTTCATCGCAGCTTGAAAGAGCATCACAAAATTAGTAATATTCCAAAGTTTCGTTGCGAAATGTTGTCAAATGCGGCTAATATAGCCTCGCGAAATTTGCAATTTTCAGTCATTTTGTATTACAAACGGGAAATTGATGCCCCAACACCCGATTGGGCTGTCAATTTCCCGTGCGTAATACAAAATGACTGAAAAACGGCCCGCAACTTCGCAAGGCTATATTATCTGCATTTTACAACATTTCGCAACGAAACTTTGGAATATTACTAATTTTGTGATGCTCTTTCAAGCTATGATGAAATTTTTGTCTAGATCAAAATTTAGTCTATAATGCAAATGGTCCATTGAAATAGGGCTGACGGAAGATAGACGTAAAAACCAGTCAACCCTCATGCAGCAACTTTTGTTTTCGTTTTGGTGAAAACGACGTTTCCCCAAATGTTTTCATATTGGCCGACCCTCAATAATATAGAGCGTTTGCACTCATTCCCCAGAGACCAACTCAACAAAAGCCATGGCAGCCATGCTGGTGTTCCAGACAAAAGAGTCTAGTTAATATTCTTTTGAATTGGAACACCAACTTGGCGGCTGTGACGTCGTGTGCAAACGCTTTATTGTTGCAGAAACAATAGAGAGTTTAAGATTTTCGACGCGGCCGGCTCAACGACGCAGTCTGAATTTCAGCTAAAAAATGAACGCTAAGCAATTTCATTACTGTAATAAATGTTTGACGATTTTCAAATAACATTACAAACTGCTAAGTTTGACTAAAGCGATGCAATGTTTGCTGTAATTTCGACTTTAAGAATCACCTTTTGGGTCGCAATAAGCTTCGCGTTGCTTGAAAGACGTGATAATGCTTAGTTTAACGTTCTGCTGAGCATGACAAAGCCGTTGAGAATACCACTGGGACCAACACCGCGGAAAAACGTCTGCGCATGCACCAAATTATGAAAATATGGCGGGGAATTTGAATATCAATTTCTAAAACAAAAACATGCTTATTAATTGGTCAAAAATTAGTAAAACAAACGAGAAAATATAGCAAATGGGTAGACTAGACATTAATTGAAAGCGTCCTGGCATTTAAAGTATGGATTGAAATATAATTCATGTAAAAAATTGTTGATTTTAACGGACACGACTTCGAAAATATTTGCAAAATTATTCAAAACAAAAATTCAAACTCAAAATTTAAGAAAACTCTCGAAAAGTTAAGCTTCTTAACCCACTCAAATTGTAGAATAAATCCTAAAGTTTAATTATTGTCAACACGAAATTTTTTTATATTTGGCGACACAGTTTTTTTTAAAGAAATGTATCTCAAACGAAAATTCGGAAATTGTCGTTGCTTAGTTGACAAACAAAATGTTTCACACGATAAATTTGTCAACAATCACCTTTAGTTCATGTTCTTGTACAATACAATTTCTTGTATCTTCTGGCTGTATTTATTCCTAGTTTTTAGAATGACATGTTTATATTTGCGCTCGAAATCTGGCTGTAAAGACGCACAATGAAGTCACTCCTTTTTACCGCCATTTTGAGCCTTCGGAAACGTTCGGAACAGCTTCTCATCAAGTTCGCAATACTATTACAGGTAAGGTTGACGCATGCGCAGACGTTTTTCCGCGGTGATACTGGGACCACAAATTATTCACATTTTTTGTCTTGCATGACAGATTTCTTTCTTTCGCAAGCGCGTCGTTGAGCCGGCCCACGCGCACACACAAAGTTTTTCGCTGCGGGTCATGAAAGCGACTCCCGTGTAAACTCTCGTGCAAACTCTCGTGCAAACTCTCATCAACTCTCGTTTGAGTGAAACCCTAAGGGAGGAACCGAAGAGAAAAGGGTTGGGTAAACACAATTTTGAGTGAGAGGTCGGGTAAATGAAACTCAAGGGTTGGGTAATAAAAATTTATTGTTATTTCCAAATATTGAAGACTAAAAAGCAATGTCAACAGTCGTGTAAATCAATCAAGAGTCACTGTCTTCATCATTTTCCGACTTTCCGACTTGTTAGGAGGCAAATGGTGTCTCCAAAGAAAGTACATGTGCAGACAACATGAAACTTTAGACTGCAGAAAATTGCAAAAGCTGTTATCAAACATGTCACAGAAGTGCTAAACGACATGTGTGACAACTGAATGGCATCCTTTTGTATAAATTTTTTGGTAGGTATGGTTATTTACTTTTTAGTTGATATTTGAGGTTGAGTAACATTTTTTTTACTTTTTAATGGTTGGATCAGCAGAATGTTTACAAAGAAAAACATTTCTCTTCGGTGACAACCCCGCCATAAACTTATCATGGTGGAAGTCTATATAGCTTGACGCGCGCTAGGCACTTACGTTTAGTTTTTTCAAAAGCAAGAATTTCAGAGATCTGCATCTGACGTTCCTTGTCATATTGATGTATATGAATGTACTTGGTCAATGTTCTTTCCACACAGAAGAAGTGGTATCCAGCACTGACTGGCAAGTCGTGTAAACCAGGAATACAGTGTTTTTGCAATGCGAAATCTTCGCTTAACCCTGTTGAGATAATAAAAATTTAGACTTCGCAATTGCAAGGTTGAAATACATCTATCATTTACAGATCACTTTGGTTATTTACAAATAGTTAACAAATAGTTAACAACTTTATAGATCCTATTAAATTGTAAAAGAATAGAAGATGAATAATGTTCGGAAAATAAACAAAGAAACAAGGCGAAAATGGAAGAAAATTAGGAAAAATTGTTTGGCAATTATGTATCATGTTTCTTCGTGCAATGAGTCCAACTACGTCTTCGATAAATTTTCCTGTGCAAAATATATATTCTGTTTTCGCAAAAAAACAGCGACAGCGTTTCAAGAGTTAATATTGCCAGAAAACATTAAAGTGCATATGACATGAAATTTCTTATTTTCCTGAATGAAAGAACTCTTTAAGTTGTAGTGTATCTTATTTTTCAGTTTCTTGTTTTTATGGTTTGTTCCCGAGAAATTTCAATTTGTTTTATTATGTAAATGAGTGTGAATATGTCCGCTAATTTATGACGTCACTTTGGTTGATTATAAATCTATTAACTCTAAAAACTGTAGATATCAATTCACGTTTTTCTCAAGTGTTTTATCACATTTACTAGTGAGTGAAGTTTGAAATTATCATCTTGGATAATAGCAGTGATATTCAACCATTTTGAAGAGCTTTCAACCAAAGTGACGTCATAAATTAGCGGACATATTCATACTTATTTACATATCAAACAAAACTGAAATACCTTGGGAACAAACCATAAAAACAAGAAACTGAAAAATAAGTTACACTACAACTTAAAGAGTTCTTTTATTTAAGAAAATAAACAATTTCATGTCATATCCACTTTAACAGGGATTGAAAATTCCAGGTAAGCGTTTCTCTCACGGTTTCGAGAAGTTCAGATAGTGGACTGGACTGAGGGAGAAGCTTATCCTTAAAGAATGCCGAGCATAAACGTTCACGTCTTGAAAACAAAGTCGGAATATTGGAAACTACCAAAGCGTCATCGTATGCTAATGATGGATTGATGATTTTGAAAGTGCTAGACTGTATCTTTTCGATGCCATATACCTCCGAATAAAATCCCCCCGGCCCCCTGTATATATAAGCCCATTTCGAATATAAGACTCCTCGAATATAAGCCCTTCCGTGTCTAAGCCCGTGGGCGTATTATTGGACAGGTATTTATTAACGCTGCAGCGACGGGGATTCCAACGGCTCAGACGAGTGACAATAATTACACTGGCCTGTAGGCCAAGTGTCTTAAATCCCTCTTTTTCTGTCTTTTCCTGTGTTTTTCTGTGTTTTCCTGTTTCTTTCGTAGTCGAGAAATCGAGTTTGCGTTAGCTCATCGCAGGCTCAGGGTGCAACGACTAAGCCAAAATGCCATCGATCCCCTCGGTTCCATGATTTACATATTTACATAGTATAGTAATAAGTCCGTATTTATGTACGTAATAGCCGACTCATGCCATGCTTGTGGTGCATTTTTCGTTTATTAGCCCATACACTTGTACGCACGCGCACAATTCCGAACCCCAATGGCGGATTTTCACAGAGTGATCAAACTATATTTATTACACAGTTTCGTTGAATTTTCAAAGAATTGTGCCGGTTTCCTATGGATTTTACGTTGTGTCGTACTCTGGACTTTCTTGCGTGTTGAATTAATGTGTTTTTCTTTGTGTAACGACTCGAAAATTTAGACCCAGCGAATTTATACAATATATAGAAGGATATTTAAACAAGGACAAGTTAAAGGTTTGACAGTTTGACTTTTAATTAATAAACAACTATAAATATACGTCGTGGACTCATAACATCCGTTGTGTACTTGTGTTAATTTTTGCATCGCACTCTGGACTTTCTTGCCTGTTGAATTAATGTTTTTCTTTTTGTATTAAATTAAACGACTCGAAAACCCCAAAATTTCATAAATTTGTACCCAGCGAATTTATACAATATATTGGAATATAAACAAGGACAAACTCTCCGAATTTCTTACGATAGTTTTAGTCAAATGTCGACAATATACCTTTAAATACATGTATTAAAATCCGCGCAGTACTAGAATTAAGAGAATTAGCGTAGCGCTGGCCGCTTAGCCTGTGTACAGCCGTAAATTCTCACAGGCTATGGCCGCTGGGTGCGGAAATTTTAGTACTGCGCGAAATATAATCCGCGCGAAAAGCTTTGTGGTAGCTATACTAAAGATAAAGCGTGCGTTCAAAATACCAACAAGAACTAGAACCATTATTGTATGGTTCTCATTTGCTAGACTTGCCACAAGTCGACCTTGAAGAAACGCATTTCGTTCGACGTCGACTTGTGGCAAGTCTACTCATTTGCCTAATACAATAACATTAGTTCGACGCGAATTTTAATACAAGTATGGTATCATATTTCATAATATAACAAACAATGTAAACGTACTAGCCATACATTTTGCCGAACATAACTTCGGCCCCTTTGGACATATCTTTTTCGTAATGATATTATTGGAACCAGAATCGAAAACACTATTTATAGTGTTATTTTCAAGCTTGTGTCTTGAGATTGTCATCTTTTATTTCGGTATTTACAGAATATTTATATTTTTAGCGCGGCCCATGGAACGCACATCAAAACAACGCGCTGTTTAGGAAAAACCGGAAATCGATTCTGTAGGTCGGCATGATTTGCACGTGCATTGATCGAGTTATAAACGTGCGTGCGAGTAAAAACCCGATATTCTGAAAAATTCTAAATAAATATTCCTACTCTGTGCCGTATTCAAACGAAACTTTGTATATGAAAGCGCTTGAATACAAGATGTATTTTACTCACATTGACTCTGAGCAAATTCTGAAGAGTCACTAAGAATACTAAAGCAGGGTGCATTGCCTGTTAATGGGTTAATAAGAGACATTGGCAGATGTGTTTGTTAACCCATTTACTGACAGTACTCTGCCACTAACAAATAAAATCGTCTGGCGTTACAGTGAAAATTGGTCTGGCGTTAGCCAGAGTAAATACTAAAGTAGTGTGCATTGGCAGCTAATAGGTAATAGACCTTAATATCCACTTTGGACCCAATGGCTTCATTTTCATGTTGGCTATTTACTCGTATTCCGTGCACACAATTTAAGAATGAGTTTGTGAACGGGCTTAAATGATGAACGAGAAGGAAACATTGGGGATATAACCAAGAATTGTGTAGAAGTATAAATTTTTGCATAATTGCATTCAGTTCATACGCCAAAAAGGCAGCACTTTCCTTGCGATAGTAACTCCTAGTTATTGACTTGCACCATTAACGTCTCCCGAAAAGGTCTTTTATTTTTTAAAAAAAAGTCCATAAAATTTGCTTGCGGTTTAAGATTTGTATTCCTGCCTTTTGCACCATAGCACGTATCTCGTTATTTTCAGGCCAGTGTGAACGCCTGAGCAGGCGTCTTGTTACATTATATATAATATGTTAAAGTGCCTATGACACGAAATTTCACCCCAAAGGTTTATGGTTGCATTGTAAAGATCACTTAAAATGACTTAATAATTTCTTTTTATGGAATTTTGGTAACTTGGGTTGTTTACCATTTACATGTAAAACCCATCCGGTTTGAAATTGTGCTAATGGTAAGCAAAATTTCGGATAGAAAATCCCATTCGGATTATTCGCTTTCCATTTAATAATTTTAATTGTTAAATCGCGAAGAGCCTGGAACTGGTGAAAAAATTTTAAAAATGTAAATGGAACAACATTTACCGGTTGAAACTTTCCAATCGGTAAGAGAGGACAACCTTTTCAAACAAACCGTTTATTCCGGAAAATTTCCGGTTGGGCCGTCGAAATATGCTTGTTCCATTTACTTTCCGTATGGAATCACCGGAATTTCCATGTAAATGGTAAACAACCTTGCTCTCTTTTCAAGATATTCCACTTTATTTCATATGTAAATATCACCGGTGTGACATCACATCACATAATGAGTTTTCAAAAAAGTATATTTTTCTTGACGAATACGTATCTAAAAAACTTAAAAATTGCCCTTGTATATGTATTAATTTCATAACTGGTAATTAACCTTCTGAATTTGTTTGTAAAAAATATTTTATCAAGGTAAAATATTGCGTTTTCAAAACGCCATTATGCGATGTGATGTCATACCGGTGATTTTTGCATATGAAACAAAGTTGAATATCTTGCAAAGGAAGCAAAATTCTATAAAAGAAATTATGAAGTCATTTTAAGTGATCTTTATAATGCAATCATAAAAATTTGGGGTGAAATTTCGTGTCATAGGCACTTTAACCAACTTGTTTTATGTATAGATTATATACTGTATTTTTTATATTTCTTCTCGTTCACGGCGTAGTTTACAGAAATCCGTATTGTTACTAACATCAATATTTAATCCGTATTGTTACTAACATCAAATGTCTTTGTATAACACTCCCGGCATATGAGCCCTCCCTTTTATAAGCCCATCAAAAAATGCTTATACGAAAGAATATAAGATCGGGGTTATCGTTGCACGGTATCTTTCGGTAAGTAATCGGGGGATGTTTTAATGGTCAAATCTGGGTACAGTACTCCATTTTAATTATTATTGTTCAGTGGAAAATGTCACGTAAACCTTTGCTGACTATAATGTTGAAATATAATTTCGTAGCTTTCCTCATTAACATTCAGAGCGATTCGACTAAGAAAAGCTGCTTGCCTTCACTGAGCTCAGACCTAGGACTTGACAGACCAACTTTTGAATTCAGGGGATTAATTTTGAAAGCCAGAATATTTTTGCGGAGAGATTTTTAAATCTGTTACATTCCTTACGAATCAAATCGTTACGCATTTCACTAGTTACACTTTCAAGCAATTATCTATACCTACGTAAATTGAAAGATATAGCTTCCCGCACCTTTTTTAACGAGTTTTAGATCGTTTTAAACACGAGATAATGAGACTTAAGGTTGCCGTATTGATGTGACCCTCAATAAATGTCCACTGGCATATTTCAGAAGGAAAAGAGGCCACTAATAACCAATTTCTCTAGATTTTTTTCTTCCTTATTTTTTTCTTCCAGAAGCTTTAGGAACCTCTTCTGACATATGGCTAATATGGCCGCCAATGACTTCGTTTGTGTATAACAGATGCTATATCCTATCGCCTTACCTTATTAGGTGTCAATTTGTTACTGGAATTCAGGGGACGGATCTAGACTAATCTACAAGGAGAGGTGCAGCCGTGCAGGTTTTCCATGGGGGTGGTGCATGAGAGAGCCTTACTGCCCACCCCTCTCTGCACTCTGCAACGTATGCTAGTATCCCAACATTACCATTATTTGAGATAGACGAATTGCATGTTCTTCGTTTTGTTACGTTTTACATTATCGTTTGGTTATAAAGTTTTTATCGGCTTTTTAACACGTATGCGTGACTGGACAGTTGCTATGGCACAGTACAGTAAATTTGCTTGTTTTAGTACAGTACGACTGTTTAACAACTTCGACATGTTTACATATTTAATTAAACATGACTTTGAGTCGGACATATGTATGACTTCCGATGCCCTTAGTTCAGTTTAGCTCGGAATTATACTAATTAATATCAGTATACAATGTATGTATGTTGTGAATAAATTAAATAGTTTGTGTCATTCATACTTATTTCTAAGCCAAAATTAACTTGCTTCCTAATAACAGCAGTATTAAGACTTCGACAACTTAAGCCCCTTTCCACTACATCCCCGCCCGCGCTCGATTGCATTAAAACAACATTTCCAGTTCTCTTGGACTAGGGTACATTTTGATTTACGTTGGACAAAGCTGCAGTTCGGTCGGACACAAGTACACTCGTGTCGGACAAACAATAAACCTCAGTTTCACTTGGGTCGGACAGAACGTCCGGTGGTTTCTTGTCTACGTCAAAAGGCCGGCGAGGGGGGGGGGGCAAAATACCCGGGGCCCGGAGAGCTCAGAGGGGCCCGGAAATCTCGGTAAAATGTTCGTATATTGTTTATCATCGGCAATTTCCAGAGGGACAGGGGCCCGTGTTCACAAATCGTCATTTTGTCCCGGGGGCCGTGGTTGGCTCCATTGAACTATAAATAAACTGAAAGGCTAACTGCTATGATGAAGGCCTATGATTTAGTGAAGCCAAATGAGTTATGAGCAGAAATACTTGACCCCAAACGTCGGGCTATATATCAAATTGAAGCTATTGAAAATTGCTATTCGGTGTGGAAATTTCAAGACTTCAGCGAAAAGAAAAATATTTAAAAAATACAAAAACAACTGCAAAACGGCAAGATTATCGGTAATTATGTTTGTAGTGTTTCAATATTTCCCTTTTAGCTAAAGTTTTGAAATTTCTACACCAAATAGCGTTTTTCAATAGCTTCAATTTGATATATAGCCCAACGTTCAGTGTTGAGTATTTCTGCTCATGACTCAGAAAAACTAAAATGCACTGGCTTCAATTTCCCCTCCTGAGTTAGCCTTCCAGTTTATTTATAGTTCAATGGTTGGCTCTCGCCGGTCTTCCTACGTCGGACAACTTCACGAATGAGTCGGACATTAGACAGGTTCAGATTTGACTACCACTACCGCTACCTTTGACGGCTCCATTGGTAGCGGTCACGACGGACTGTTTAGACCTGTTCAGATTAGACTTCTCCCGACGACCGTAAATCGCTTTGTTAAGGTCCATACAGACCGGACGCGATTCGGCAACGCGACGCGAATTTTCAGTTTTTAAAAACAAATAAAACCGTCAACGGATAAAAATTTTACAAGATATGCAGACCATATAGCTAAAATTGCTTAAGTGGTTCCGAATATTTGAAAAACATAGAAAAATATTGAAAATTGAAAATTCGCGTCGCGTTGCCAAATCGCGTCCGGTCTGTATGGACCTTAACGGTCCCAAAACAAAAACATGCGACGATTTCCTTACGCTCTTGCAGTTACTGCGCATGCGTAACACATTTAAGGTAGCGGTAGTGGTAGTGGAAGTCCAATCTGAACCTGTCTAATGTCCGTGACCGACCGATATTTTTTAAGGCCTAGTGGTACTATGTGGGGTGTGCAGTGGTACTATGTGGGTGTGCACCTCCTGCAACCCCACGGTAGATCCGCCCCTGCTGTAATTTTTGCTCGTGCGACCAAGCTCATGCAAAGTCACTTACCCAATTTGAGCTCAAATTGCATGAGTGCGCGAGTGATAATATAAATCATGACAATATTGAATTCTCCAGCCAATTCTACTGTTAGTGTTTTCTCTTGTACTATACCATCTTCAGTGACGAACCAATACTGATTAACATCCGAATCAATTGTTCTACTCGGCGCTCTTGAATTTTGATGTTGGGTGTTCGAAACCGCAGCTTTGCGTGGAACATTTTCTGTAAAATAAAAACTATAGACCGTTTTCACGTTTTGATATATAAATACCAGGAATGGGCTGGTATCAGCTGGTCCGTAGGGAGTTTAGCTTTCACTGCGAGTACGACAACAAGTATGAGATCTTTCCCGCCAAATGTATAGCCAACTTTCTGCTGACTTTGGGAAGTTGTAGTGGACATGCTGTTGAGCCGGAACCGGAGGGTATGGGGGAGGGGGTGTATCCCCCCCCCCGACTGTGAAACTCGGTGGTGAATCTGAAGTTAAAATTTTGACATTTTCATGTAAAAAGTAGTTATTTTTTGTGAAATGATGACCATTTTTGCAACATACAATCAATTTAGATCAAATTTGTATAGTATAATCTGCTAACTATGCTTTCATAAGCACAGAGCAAACATTTTGTGACAACTTTCATTTGGCCACTGTACGGTTGTGGTACCATCTAACATACGTATCACTGTAGCCCCAGCGAGTTGACGCTCTTTTGAGGGAAAAATCTTGTGTTCGTTGTCACCCTCGTAGTCAAAGCTAAACCTCCCTAATTAAAGTTACGGTGACTTCAGGGAGCTACATTCTGAGCTTGACATCACAGGATGGATGTGGGCCAGACAACTGCACCTTGCCTTCCCCCTAAAATATTCCCCCCCCCCAGCATTTCTGCCAAAATACGGCCTTGTAAAGGTAAGAAGAAAGACTTCTTACCAGCATTATTTGTGTTCACAAACAGCTCAGCAATGACCATAGAGGCCACTACCCCTGGTCGATGAATGACGACTGTCTGACCAAACATGTCGCAGTAGAATGATCTGCCTTCTCCAACATATATATTTGCAATTGTACATAATGGATTGTCGTTGATTATCGAGGCACTTCCTAAATCAGATTAAATAAAATCCTTGTCTTGAAGATTGTATAATGTTGTCGTTGTACGTTGTTGCTGTTATTGTCGCTTCTGTTGTTGCTGCTGTTGTTGTTTGCTGTTGTTGTTGCTGCTGCTGTTGCTTGTAGTCGCTGTTGCTGCTGTTGTTGTTGTTGTTTGCTTTTGTTGCTGCTGTTGTTGTTGTTGTTTGCTGTTGCTGTTGTTTGTAGTTGTTGTTTGCTGTTAGTGAGTGCAGTCACCATCTACCGCGCGCGGGAACTTTAAGATAGAACAGCATGAATACAGCTACGGTTAAGGTAATTCCGCAGTAATTGTTCCCGAAATGAGAATGTGCTGAAACTTCCCAGGCATGGAGTTTATGATATAGCGCGGATTTTGCTTTAGTAAACTTATCTTGTAATTATTTTTCAAAAAATGTTGTGTTTTGGGCAAAATGAAACTACTAACGTGTACAATTCTGATTCACAAATGTCTTTTGCACATTTCTTTACATATCTTTCTTTGAGAACATGCATTGATAAAGCATTTTTTTTCAAGATCCAGAAATGATTTTTCTTTTAATTTCGGATATGAAATGTAAAATGCATTAAAGAAATAAATTATCAGTTAAAAACGGGGGTCACCGATCTTTTAGGGAATTGTGGCATTAAAACGTGAAATACAAGTAAATAAATATACTACAGACACAGTGAACCCTAGCTACACTTTTGTATGCCTTTTTTGAAAATATTGATTTTAACGTAATTCTTTGCACGAATGTGACCGAAGATGTTTTGAAGTAACATAAAATTGTCATAAAATGATATTTTGTTTTAAACGGTACGTATAATGGATGAAATTATAAGTTATTAGATGTGCGCAGTAAAATGCGCAATGCAAAACTGCGGAATTACCTTAAGTTTTGTTGTCCTTGTATACAAGTAAAAAATAAACATTTTAAACAAAATGCCATCGTTGCAAGAAGTGTGCGATGCTTTGATAATTGCCCTGGCTGATAAAATTATAAGCGAAGAGGAATAAAATTATAAGCGCTTCGTATTCCGGGCAGATCTGTTTGTTGGAAGGCTTGTGTACAGTAGAAAAGACTAAATTTCCCTTGCCGTTATTCAGATATGATTCACAGTTTTGCTCGTCCTGTTCCAGAATTATGCATGACCACTACACCGTCCTCGACTGGGTATACACAACACATTGCTATCGACTTAAATCATGGAACCAACCATTTCTTTCGAGAGATTGGCTTGAAAGTTAGCAACAATAGCAATTGCTAGAAAAGGTGCACCCCTCAGAAACTGTTTTGGATTTGTTGATAGAACAGTTCGTCAGATCTGTCGTCCAGGGAAGAACCAACGGATGGTATATAACGGCCATAAAGCCTAGTTTCCATTTGGTCGTTAGTTGTCGCTGGCATGACAAGTGGCTGATGTAATAGAGTGTCAACAAAACTCTGCAATCATTAAGACTGATTTGCATATAACCAACAAAACGACTATTATTATATGTTAGACTATTTCACATCTACCGCTAGTCGGGCCAGCGACAACTAACGATCTAATGCAAACTAGGCTTAAGAGAGTACGTGCCCCTTGTACGTGCCCTCGGTTTCAGGCTGACGCTCGATTGTGGCTTCCGTCTGTAGTCCGTAGTCGGTTATCTTAAAGTTACTGTTGTTTGCTGTTGTTGTTGCTGCTGTTGTTTGTAGATGTTGGTTGCATGCTGTTGTTGTTGTTGTTGTTGTTGTTTGCAGCTGTTGTTTGTGGTTGTTGTTGGTTGTTGTTGTTTGTTGTTTGCTGTTGTTGCTGCTGTTGAGGTTGTTGTTTGTAGTTGTTGTAACAGTTGCTCCTGTTGTTTGTAGTTGTTTGCTGCTGGTGTTGCTGCTGTTGTTTGTGCTGTTGTTCTGTTGATATTGCTGTTGGTGTTGTTGTTGTTGTTATTAAATACCACCTATCTACTTACCTATGCGTATATTAAGATCCAGCATTGGTCCATCATGTTTTGGTTCTAACACGTTGAACACCACGACGTCATGTACAAAGTAAACATCCATTAAATCAATTTTCAGCCAAGGATTATTTTCCGTCTTTGTGAATGCCTTTGTTCCCAAACCGAGATCCACAGCTCTCTTCGCCCAACCATACGCAATCGCACTACTTAAAATCGCTGGCTTTTTCATTGCGAGGTTTTCTACGTAATATAATAACAGCCGGATTCAATGGACCTTTAACCTTATAACTAAAATTTTGATCGAGACAAAAATTTCATCACAGCTTGAAAGAGCATCACAAAATTAGTAATATTCCAAAGTTTCGTTACGAAATGTTGCAAAATGCGGATAATATAGCCCTGCAAAGTTTGCCGGTTTTCAGTAATTTTGTATTACAAACGGGAAATTGTTACTGTTGGGGTATCAATTTTCCGTTTGTAATACAAAATGACTGAAAATTACAAATTTCGCAGGGCTATATTATCCGCATTTTACAACATTTCGCAATATTACTAATTTTGTGATGCTCTTTCAAGCTGTAGTGAAATTTTTGTCTAGACTTGTCTAGATTAAAATTTTAGTTATAAAGTTAAAGGTCCATTCAGAAATTAGGTACGGCAAAGAGCAGGGCCGCAGATTCGATTGCTGCCAGAGGGACATACTATAGCTGCCCCTGGATAAAGTCGGTGTGCTGCACTATCATTGTTTACAGCTGTTGATGCATACATTTTTGTTTTAATTATTTGGTTGAACTGCAAACGACAATAGCCCGCCGACATACCGCAGATATACAAGGTGTATAAAAAAATGTGCACCCTTTCAAGTTAACCGTGACCTATTGTAATAAATCGACAACCGTATAATTTCTCGAATTAATGAACACGTGAAAACACAAGGTCTTCTGCACATGGAAACAGTGGCGTAACATCATATCAGGGGGCGCCCGGTTCAAAATTTTCGAAGGCCCCCCTAGTAGAAGTGCCAAAGGCACGAGTGGAGCGCCGTATATGCACGAGTTTTTTAGGGGGTCCCGGGGATGCTCACCCGGAAAATGTTTGAATCTAGAGTCTCTGTAATGCCATTTGCAGGAATTTGGGGGAGAGATTTTACCGAATTCTGATGGTCAGAAAACGACATTGTAACATATCAGAGACCCTGGCCAACGTTTTTGCTGTACAGCCTGAGCCTCGGGGCCCCCATTTGGTTGGGGCCCCCGGGTTCACCCGGTCCGAGGCCATAGTAGTTACGCCACTGCATGGGAATTTAGGTTAACTTGTACAGGGTGTCCCAAAAATAACCTTCTATAGAAATCAGATCTTTCGTTGTAAAACGTGCGTTGTTACACCTTTGGGGATTTATTGCTGCCGCAGCGAGCGAGCCTGAAGTGAGCGAGCAAGGCAGCAGATCCTAATTTTGTTTTGTGGGTCGAAATCAAAATTTTCTATTTGGCGCATTGCATGACGGTACCAGTGAATTTTAACCGTGGTGCAGCGCGGTCAGGCATAAGGCAAACAGGCAATGTGATCATGTTTCATCTTTGGTCTTCTTTTATGGAAAGCCATAGCTGGCTTAAAGTGATCAAACGGCATTTTGTTGGGTGCTTTTAGCATTATACGGCAGTGCTTTTGGCATTATACACGGTGCTTTCGCCATTATACGCGGTGGTTCCAGTATTATACGCGGTGCTTTCACCATTTATATACGCGATGCTTTTGCAATTATACTCAGTGGTTCGAGCACTATATGCGGTGCTTTTAATATTATACGCGATGCTAGCTTTCAATCAACATTATTTCCATATTCTTTCCATAACATGTATATGATTTAACGATTGCTTAAATTTGGTAGACCCTTGGTATGTGCATGGTTGACAAATGCTTTTTGCTTATGGTCTGCAAGGACAATGACATGCTTTTCTGTGTATATACATGTAAATGAATATAACGCAGCGAATGCGCCAAACAGTATAAACGCGGCTGAAATACGATATTAAAATCTTAAATGTGCCGTATGATTTAATTATGTTTTAGGATTTACAAATGCTTTGTCATTTGTATTTATACTTGTACTGCATCACAAGGCAGTACGTACTGTAAGTGAAAAAACTCCACATGTGAGATTGTCTTGTATATATTTTTGCTTTCTTTGATAAACACTATTAAACACGCAAATTTTAATTAGTGAGACGCAATGTTAAATGTCACCTGCATGTCATTGTCATTGCCCTTTAACCCCTGGTCTAATTGGCCGCTTTTGAAAATATTGATCATGACGAACCGCACTGCCTTAATTAAATGCAAACTTTGTGTTTTAAAAAGGGGTTAGGATAAAACGCGGATACGGACGGACGGATGAATGACGGACGGACGGACGGATAACATATATATGTCGTTATATATAGTCTGCGCGCAGCCGCGCAGGGTAGTTAGTGCCTTACGTCTTCGCTGGTTGTTATACTTTAAAATAATTTTGTATGTACCGAGAAATCAATATTCCGAGTATATAAATATATAAACTGGGATGTTACACTGATAGCTTGTTTACATTTCCTGGA